AATCTTTTTTACACTTCCAGATGGAAACATGCATCTTTATGCACAACAGCAGTGCACTAGCTGGGAAAGAAAATCCCTCCCACCAGGAGGGAATCACAAGCCCTACTCAGCGCACAAGGAAATTGCTGGGGTCAGAGGCCTGGGGACTGGCTTGCATGATGCATTACTTCTGGACTAAGTGGCATAAACATTTGTCTTGGGAGCCAAAACTCATGCTGAAAAAGCTTACAGAAAAGTTGCTTACAAGTAGTAAGGGGAGATGATTCAAGTTCCACATTTGTCAATATTTGAAATAAGTACTGAATAAATACTTCTTTTCTTTTTGTGTTGCTTGAGTTTGGTGGTTAGATTTAATTAGTGGAATGGTAAACTGTCACAATTTATGTCTAATCCTATATTTAGCAGAATTAACAAGCAAGGTCAGCAGTAACATAGGCAATGGGGATCAGCACCTTCATTAACGTGTGGCATGCATGCAGGCGTCTAAATGAACTCTTATAACTTGTTTCCAGAGAAAAGATCATAGTTTCTATATTGTTGTGTTTAATCAAACACAGTTTTGAATGTAACCAAAGCGCGGTGACTGCAGGCAAAGTTTTTATTAAAATTTTGCCCAGTTAGGGAGGCCAGTCACATACACTGCCACCTCTGGTACTGACAAAAGCTGGCAGCACAGGCATCTCCAGGAATTTCAACTGACCCAGATGAAGAGGCCTTGGAGCATGCTTGCAGAGGGGATTCCCAACAGCACCCCTCAGACAGACTGGCCATCCTGTCCAAGAGCTTTCTGATCAAGGTGCACCCTGTTTCAAAGATCCTAACAAAGCTCACTTACCAGCATCTTGCTGCAGTTGTTCATGTAATACATGCAATAATTAAAGAAGCATGAGCAAAGAGCTCTGGATTTGCCTAAACTGTAGGAAAAAGAAGCTGTAGAAATGGAGGCCAAAAGCTACACAACCCAAAGGCAAATACACCCTCATATCGTGGGAACTGCTCACTGATAAGGCTGATTCTTTGGGTAATTATAGTAGCGGTTGCCCCGATTTCATGCTGTTCCATGAGAGATGAGCTGCAGACTGCAGAAGAACACTTAGCAGGAGCTGTGCCTGTTCCCCAAGATCAGGCAGATACAAAACCTGTACCTGCTGTCCTGGTGAGAAACAAAGGTCAGTGCCTCTCTCATGCCCACACAAGGAGTAAATTCTGATCCAAAATCTACTTCAGACAACCACAGAAAGTGTCTGCCACACAAAACCTAGGGCTGTAAAGCAGAAGGTCAAAATGCAAAGTCATACTGCATACAAGATACTCCAACAGCAACTAGCAATAACAGAAACTACTGAAATCACTGGACTATTGGGATTCCATGCTTTTGAGTACCAGTTTTCATTGCCTGTGATTCAAGGCCTACAGGTCCTTACTTCTGTATTCTAATCCGGCACACTCCAAGGGGAGGACCATGAATGTGAGGAGAGAATCTCAAGTTTAGCACAAACTCAACATACTAATATATTTCATATTCCTCTTCTCAAAGGCTTAGTTACTCCCACCTATAGAGCAAGAATCACTGCTTCCTTGTTCACAAAACATATTTATTTAAATTAAACTCACTGCACATCCTATAGCAAGACTAAGCAGAGCTCTCCAGTTTCCAGAAACCCCTAGTTGTTCTTCTACAGCATTCATGAGATCGATTGAGCCTGTGGTCCCAAATCACACTCTCCACAAGGAAGAATCCCTGCCCTTTGGCTTTCAACCTCATTACTGATTTTGTCCCCTAGGTACTGAAGAGGTGACTGCGTATTCACAAAAGACTTTGCTGGGGAAAGTGGAACACACCGAAGGGGCCAGCATAATTGTTAACTTCTACCCAGCAATGACGCAACCTAGAGGAGAAGAAGGTTTGAAAGTGAAGCAGCACACGGGATCTACGCACAGCAGTGCCTTTCTAGGCCTTGCCACTGAAGAGATTTGCCTTTCAGGATGCCTCTGCTCAGCGAGCTAAACAGGCAGAGCAGTGTTCACTAGTGTTTCTTGTGTTGACTTTCTGCTGGTTTAGGTTCTTGAACAGCTCGATGCAGGGTCAAACAAAAGCCCGAGGGAACCGATGAGAGCATACCACGCTGTCCCTTCAGCTCAGTTCAGCCGTGCTGCCAAACCACAGCCTACAGCTTACCGTACACTGCAGGAAAAAACTGCTTCAAAAGGCTGACCTCAGCTATGCAGATGAGCTCTAGTTCTGGTGAAGTTAGTGACAAAATTGCAACAGTTCCATTGGTTGAGCGTTATGGTTTTAAAAGCAAATACATTTTTTTTAAACAGCTGAGTCGGTGGTAGCTGCAGATACTCTCTTTCTCCCTGCCACTTTCAATGACTGTAATCATACGCCTGTATTTTTGGCCTGACCGGGTTTCCTTCCACCTTCGCTGTAAACGCTATTCCTCATACTATACATGATCTTGGCAGAAATTATTTATGTCATGCATGTGTATTTAATTTTCAGCTCAGCAAAAACAAGACCAGGCTAATCAGCGATGCTTTTCAGTTGGCCGCTCTTACGTGACGCAGCGCTTTTGAAATGTGACAAGGGAGAAAAGCTGAGAACGTGACAAACGTAATGGCACAGCTGCTTTTTCAACCTATAAAGTAACGTGGTACAAAGGACTTCAACAGAAGAGCGCTCCACAGTGGCCAAGAGGCACGTTTGCTGTGCAGAGTGACAGCTCCACGCAGCAACAAATCTGGCTTTGCCCTCGCGAAGCGCCCATGAGGAACGGACTGAATGCCTCAGGAGGCACAAGAGCAGCAGCCAATATTTACGTTCAGTCTATCCAGTAAATAAACAAGACTGAAACGCTGCAGGCAAAATGCCTCACACATCTTACTCTAAAAGCTAACTCGCGCCGAATCCAGTGGCAGCACCAGCTGCGGAACCACAGCGTCAAGTTAACACAATTAACACAGTGCCAATTAACACAAAACCAGTGCCAGCGCACCCCATCAGAACGAGGTCCCAGGCCTTTCAGGACACCAGAGAACCCAGAAGTTCTGGGGCTGCAACCCCTGCTTCAGAGGCAGGCCCATCTCCATTGAGATGGGACTTTACATCTTCTGCCTCACAGAACGTGCATTTTTTTTGTAGTGCACTGACAAAGTCCGCTCTTTCAAAAGTAGTCAATCTGACCATTTTACAAACTCAGTGCAGACAGCCTAGTGAAATGTGCAGCGCTGC